CATGCGGACACCTTTCCGGCAAGCCGAGAAAAAGAGTCTTTCAGTGTGAGTGCATGCACTTCAACAGCTTTGCTTAGTAGCCATTTGTGTTGCACGGTGTGATACCCACTTGAACGGCTTAGTGTTGCAACGTCGTACTGATTGCTTTGGATCCAGATGTTAACGGCTCGAGTTGCACGTGGCGACACCCGGAATTCATTACGGAAATAAACTTTCCTGCCAAATCATCAACGGTAAAGCCTGTAGCAAGCACCACACAAGTTTTGCTATTACCCACATCAGCTCATCTTGCGATGCGTTCCTTGTTGTCCGTGCTGTGGGCACCATGGAGCTCCTGGAATGCGAGACGGCTGGACGGCCCTCTGCAGCCTCCGTCCCTATTCCGGATTCTACCAGGGGTTTAGGGTTTTGGGGTTCAGGGTTCCGACATCAGAGTTCCACGGTTTGGGTTTAGAGTTTTAACATTTCCGGAGTTTGAAGATTGCGAACGTACTACTTAGTTGCATTTCCAGCCGCGAATCATGCGAAGTCTAAGTCATGTCATTCTTTTTCATCTGTTATTGGGCGTGTTTTGACGGCCCTCCTCGCCGTCCAAGTGTTTTGCGCACGTGGAATGTTTGTACGCTACAGCAGCCGAAAGCACCGTCAAGAACGATGAACTTGGCCGCCAATTCTTAGCCTCAACCCCAAACCCTAAACCCCACACCCTAAACCCTACACCATACACCCAACACCCTTAACCTTAACCCCTAAGCCTTAATCTCCTCCAAGATAATCCGAGATCCAGTCAGTTTTATGCGGGCTGTACTACCTCGCGAGAGGTGCTTTCTTGTTGATTAGGGTTTAGGGTTTAGAGTTTATGTGCTCTTATCAGGACCATGGGTGCCACCACCACGCTATTCTTGGGATTATTAAGTCTAAAACTCGGTTTTGTTTTGTTGAAGCTCACCTATCCTACACTTTCCGCACGAGCTGATAAAGAGTTGTTACCTTCAGGCATTCCAGTTTCATGTGAACGTTTATGGTGCAGCCAGGTCAGTTTTAAGGTGCCTTCTCGGATGTGTGGCTTTGAACTTACGAGAGTTTTCTGTGGAAAATCATGTGCGCCAGTGTATGTTCCTCGTGATCAATGAACCAACTGTGTCGTCATGCGGCAAATGTCCCATAAAGTCTGATAGCGGGATCCGTTTCTGTACCAAAAACGATCCCACTGCAAGCCACGAACCGGCCAAATCATCCGAAGCATTTCTTGCCAAGACACAAGCCCAAAAGATTATTTCAACATAGAAACCACGACAGTCGCGCCAACACTGTGCTCTTTCTGATGGGCACGCTGCAAAAAAAGTGGCATTTCGCGGACAAAGGTCTTGTTGAAAAGAATCAGCCGCAAGCCTAGGAGTATATGACAGTAAATGTCCTTGAAACATATGCGCTTCAGGCTGTAATACAATGTGTATTTAAAAACGACTTTCTGAACGAGCATGAACCTGATGTAGAGTCTAGCGAAGCAGGGTCCTGATGTTTATCAACAGTCCGAAAGAAGAACCCCTCAGTCCCGCAAACGACACAAGCAATAATGGCTTCGGGCGCGGTTTAAAGGCGAGCAGAACTCCAAACCTCAGCCCGAGGCACGAAGACGGCCCAAGCCCAAAATAATGCCAAACACAGGTCTGGGTCTGTGGATTTCGGGTTCATTCAAAGAGCCCGTGTCTGTGAGCCTCTCGACTTGCGTGTGTTACTGCGGATTTGAGATTTTTTTGGCTTCAGGTCTAGTAGGAACTGCCGAAGCCTTGCCCCACAACCGCATGCAGCGGTAAACCCTGTAACACAAAGACGGTCAAATAAGATCATTCCTAGCATAAGTCGGGGGGCAATCAAAGCCTAAACCTAAAACCCAAGCTGAAACCTAAGGCCGTATGTTAAGGCAGACAGTTCCAAACCGAAGCTTGCAAACAGCCGGAGCTCTTCTTGGAGTTGTCACGGACACTAAGGGATCTTTAAATCGCTCTAAACCCTAAACCCGTAAAGTACTTTTCCAGATCCGTCAAATGAACCTTTGTAGACCCTACTAGCTTCAGCGCCATGCTCAGAGCACGCAAAACCTTTTAATCAAGGAATTTATCATAAACCATCTTCTTAAGCTCCTTAAACCTTAAGGTTTATTGCCCAGTTACGGACCCTATGAAAAACCGTTACCAGCCCTGTAGAACTTAGAGCCTTATGTAATGAAGGGCCTCTTCTTGGGTTTTCTGGCCAGTTTCGCTTGCTCACCGTTTAGGGTTTAGCTAATCGAACCTCGTAGCTCTTCCTCAAGACGGCGAGCGCCCCAGCCCGAAACCCGAGATCGCAAGCCAGGGTTGATTGTGAAGGTTTCTATAAAGGGCTGGGGGGTTCTTCTCCCAGCGTCAAGCCCGTTTGGGTTTTTGTACTTGTCAATCCTCGGGTGTGATAGGTTCGGCAGCGTTCTGGCAAACTGCAGAGGCGTAATGGATTAATATGTTTGGCACAATCCAATGAACTACAACATGTGTTATACAATGAATTAATTACGGTATTTAAAGATAAACATAATGTTAATTTACATGACAGTTTTTCAATATTACATATATTTAAAGCATGTAATCCCCAAGCACCGCAATCGCTTCGCCCGGATATTAAGCTCAAGGCATTGAAAACAAAGCACATGGGTCTGGGCCGATTAAGAGAAGCACCTGACCCTAGACCCCAAATTAAACCCATAAAGCCCTAAACCTTCAATCCTAAACCCTGAACCCTAAATCCTAAACCCTAAATCCTAAATTAAAGCCCTAAACCATAAACCCTAAATCCTGAACCCTTACAGCCCTAAACCTTAAACCCCAAATCCTAAATCCTAAACACTACAGCCCTAAGCCATAAACCTTAAATGCTAAATCCTTATTGACGCCTTAAACCATAAACCCTACATCCTAGACCCGTCAAGCCCTAAACCATAAACCCTAAATCCTTGACCCTTAAACCCTAAACCATAAACCCTAAATCCTAAACCCTTAAAGCCCTAAGCCATAAGCCCTAAATCCTAAACCCGTCAAGCCCTCAGCCGGAAGCCCTAAATCCTAAACCCGTCAAGCCCTCAGCCGGAAGCCCTAAATCCTAAACCCGTCAAGCCCTCAGCCATGAGCCCTAAATCCTAAACCCTTAAAGCCCTCAGCCATAAGCCCTAAATCCTAAACCCTTAACGCCCTAATTTTACCAGGCTTTCAACCCGATAAAAACTCAGGAATTCACGGGACCTGCGAGCTTCAGCTTCTGTATCGCTGCCCCAAGGCTGCCAAGGTTTAGTTCCTGATGTATATTTGTTTTTCTCCTAGGGGTTAGTTTTTAGGGTATAGTTTTTAGGGTTTAGTTCAATTTAGGGTTTAGTCTGTTTTTAGGGTATAGTTTTTTTTTTAGGGTTTAGTTCAATTTAGGGTTTAGTTTGTTTTGAGGGTTTAGTTTTTGTTCTTTTAGGGGATTGGGCCTTCCGGTTTTGGGTGTGCGGGCTTGAGGTATCTTGGGATCGCAGACTATTTCTGGGACCTGTTTCGGGTTTTGGAACCACCGTAACACCTTCTGACCCTCCTGTCGAGATGCTCTATCACTACCGCTGCTCTGCCTATCATTCTTTGCCCAGCGACTGCCACACTCTTTACTATCTTGTATCATATCATCGTAAACCCTAAGCCCTAAACTTAACCCCAAACCTTAAACCCTAAACCCCTAAACCCCTAAACCCCTAAACCCCCCAAACCCCTAAACTCTAAAC